AGCTATATACGAAGAGTAAACGTCTTTTCTCTTAACACTGAAAAATAACGTTCTGTTTCACGTACAGAGGATTGCCGTAATTCAGTGCCACTGGAAGAATTTGATCATCGTCATTTATGAGTCTTACTAGCTCGCTTATAATAGTAAACACTGTTTATTTCACTGCACTATTACTCCTATTGGCCTGTCTGACTGACTGAGAACGCTATTGTTCCATTAAAGGAGTTGCCTTACGGGCAAGCAAACCAGTAGCGTTCGAGCTGCTCTTTTTCGGGTAGTTCAGCCATCCCTGCCACACAACAGAGACGAACCGGGCTTCGCTGCATTATAGCATAGTTTTACGGGGGCGATTGTTCAAGGAAGGGCTTTCACCATCTGTTTTCATCATGCTTACTCTTAGTACGGCTGCAGCTGTAGCCCCGCGTTATTTTTGCCACCACACCCGCTTCTTTTTATATTCCTCCTTCGTCGTTTTTTGACGAGCTTTTGTAAATAGCTAGGCAGGTAGTCAGCGCTCGTGTGTTCTTCAATGATATGTATCTCATATCTCATACCTCGTACCTATTCATCCATCCATCCATCCATCCATCCATCCACCATTCGTGAACAACAAGTAGATTGGCCTCGTTGTCAACTCAACTCGGTGGCTTTCATCTTTGGGGCTGCTGATACGACTTTCCATTATGTGCTCGCGACACAGCTCTCGGCGGTCGCCTACTTAGCACACATACATACACGAGCATATAGATAAATATACTAAGGCAAACAAACTAACATACACACACGCACATACAACAGAAACGTTAGTATTATGAATGACATCTTTACTGGGCACTTTTTTTTACTGTTATCGTTGTTGTTTGTTGTTGTTGTGATGAAAAAGACGAACAAAAAGGAGAAGAAGAAAGAGAAAACGGCGACCAAGTCACAGGCAAAAATGCCTTCGAGTGACAGATAAAGACTGCGGGTAGTAAAACAGTTTTGACGGGCGGTAAGCTGTCAGAGGCGTTACCTTATAAGACAATGTACACATGCACTTAGACATAAACTCAGTCAAAAACACGACGAACGTCGACAGGCCAACACACACAATCGCTGAAGAACGTAAGCATTACGTTGACGCTGTTTTATCGCGTCTGCCTTGCGATCAATAGCTAAGCGTTTCATGCAGCTGATTCCACTAGCCACACATGAGCTTTTTAAATAACGCAAACTGTGTTTTTTGCTCACAGTAGACTTCTAGCAGGAGGAATGACGAGAAAACGAAGATACCAGGCGTCTTCGTCTGCATCAAATGCATGATCAGGGAGGCGTCCGTGGCACCTAGTTTTATCGCATAGATAACGAACCCGGCAGAGACATGGCGGGTATATGACGAAAAAAGCCAAGGCCACTAATAACTACGTGCTGCTATGCTTGTGAGGTGATGAACATCGAGTTTTCATGTTTTTACAATCTTCTATAATATTTGATGGTGCCATTATACGATTTTCTATAATATATCTACCCTTTATTTATGTATATTTAATATACACACACAGACACAGAAAAAAACGGACGACTTGGACGTTATTTGACACTGTATGTGACTATATATTCCAAAATGAATTTACCTTTACATGGACTCCGAGGTATTACTCTTAGAATCGAAGCTGTGGGGTTCGAAATTCGGATAAGGTGAACTTAATAAAAAACTGATTAAAAGTAATACTTTCTTATACTTACATAATGAGGTTAGTAATCAATCATAAATTCGGGTAACATACCGTTCGACTTTTTTTATAATTTTTTATAAATATTCTCCAATAACCCGACAGACTTAATGAGGCTATCGCCCGGTCCCAAAAAAGGAATCACTTCTTATAGAATCTAAAAGAATAGCAGACAAGAACAACATTTTTTCTGTATGCGAAAAAATTCATGAAGATTACATGAACTTTAAAGTATGCCCCTAGTGACATACATATGGGTTTTCAAAATAGGGAATTGGGCCCAGTTCACTCTACGATTTTGGCTAATTTTTTTTAAAGAAATTTTTGAAGATCGACCTTTTTATATGAAGAAGAAAAACTATTCGAAGAAAGCGGGCTATAAGAAGAAAAGCTTTGATCTTTGTACACCACACGAATTACGATTTCGTACTTCTATCTGTAACGCTCTATAAAAATGCAATGAAATCAAGTCATTTCTTAGGCGGTTGATCACGGCTAGTGAAAAATAGGTTTCATACAATGATTATTGGCAAATCAAAAAATCAGATATGATCCAGAGTGACGCTAGGGGAGGGAATGCTATAAATTCGGTGGGACTGGAGAGGAATCGTGCATTATAAGTCGTTTCTGCTTGACAGAACGAGTAATTTCTCGGATTTCTATTGTCCACAACTATAACGAGCCACTGGACAAAATTGACTGCAACTAGTAAACTAAAAAACGTCGTCTTTTACAATGACAACGCCAGACCACATACATCTCTAACTGGCCGGAGAGACGCTGTAGATAGGAGATTTATTTCAGTGGTGTTCATTTTGTTTCAATGAAGGAATGCAAAATCACTAATAAAGTTTTGGCCTAGAAGCCATAGAAGTTTTACAGTGGTAGAGCCATGCTTTTACCAAAAAGATAGAAAGCCAATAGTTAAAATGGCATATATCTAGATTAAAAATGTAATTTTAAAATATGGAAAACATTTGCTTCAATATTAGCTTGAAAAAGGTCAATAGGTTTTTGATAACCCAAATAACTTCTATACGTACTATACTACGAACGAAAAAGGGTTTGCATATAAAGTTTAGTCGTTTTAAAAGCGGTTCTAACATTTTTTTGTGATTTTACGTGTAGCTTTGACTTTTGGAAAAAAATCCTGTAGTGAAAACTACCTTTCCAGCAAAACATTGTTTTAGACGAAAAAGTATAAAAAAAAATCTCTCGTGGGCTCCAATTTAAACCCGGAGGACAGCCATTCACGCGTACGGAGCTAAAAACCAAACGATATAGCTTCGTACAGCTTGGTGCTGATATACTAAAAAGATGCCACACATAAGGCAATTTAGCCTTTTTATTTTTCATTCTTTGGTAGTTTTCTTCTTCTTCTTCTTCATTCTTTTGGTAAAAAGCTGCAAATGGCCTTGCTTATCTAAGCCTGTTGACCTTATGCGGTATTTCGTCCAACACGATGCAGTAGACCGTTTGAAGGCTGTGTTATTTTTGATTTTTACATGCTATTCTAACGAAAGGCGCAAATTCTATGAAGGCGTTCTATGAAGTTCGGTTTATGTGCTTACAATACGTTTTCGGGCAATGTTTTAATAAGAGTTTGTGAAATTCCTCAGAGTAAAAACACTTGTGCTTTGAAATATCTACACAAAAACAAATCATCAAAAAGAAGTTCGTTTTTTTTTCTAGGCGGCGGCTGAGAACTTCCGAAAGGCACCTATGTTTGTACATTATCCATCCGCTTGGTTTCTCGAGGATAACGCAGGACCATCTTGATTACGATACCAGCAAGGCACAATCAACACAGGAAAACGCGACAGCTATCACAAGGTCATATCATGACTAGCAGATGATAATAGAATATGTCAAAGTTTTCCCTTAGTCGGGTCTCGAACAGTTACGACGAATTTGAGTTTAGCATTCGGCTTCAAACTAAACAAGTTTCACTTCGTTTCATTTTAGATTGCAAAACGTAACACCATCATTTTTGGTAGCTTCCGGCGCTTACATATGGTGCGTGTAATGTGTGGTCCTTCGTACCAGACGTGTTTAGATCTAAAATGAAAAAACATATAATTGTTCTAATGAACAATTTTCGCTGTGGCCAGGTTTCATAGTTCTGCAGTACTAAGCAAGCAAATAAGTCCATAAAATTTTGATAATCGTTTTACGTGAATCGGGGTGTTACATCCTTTCTGATTGCGTATAGTAAGTTATATGTTAGATATTGATTACGCCAGATTCTAACCTTTTCCTTGCAGCGATTAGACAGATTTTCTTCTTTACATTTGTCCTGTACCTGCTCATTGCTCCAGCGATTTACAGTAAGAGGCCAGTTAGAGCATTGAATGCAGTCAGATCTCTAACGTGCCGTACAAATTATCGTTCGTTCCATCGTGCATGCGATTTCTCATAACGCGTTACTTATTCATATCGATCAGACGACAGAAGTTAAAGATTCTAGTTCAGACTAAAGGTATGAAAAATCTGTAAGCGTCTTAGGTGGATCTCTGCAAAGCAGACCCGTTGGTCCTATATATATATATGGATACAGCTGAAAATCAGGACACTAGAGTCCTATTAGCAATAGAAAGATTGTCTCCCCCGAAGCTACATATGAAGAACGCGTATTAGATATCTACTGTGCGATAATACTAACGTACTTAATATTGATAATAATAACAATAATTAACGCACGTAGCTTGGGACAAATAAAGCATAAATTGCACAATATATTTTTCTGCTCGTATCTAGAGGGAGAAGCGACAAAATTTGGTAGATCTTTCGTAGGTCGCATAATGTAAAAGATTCTCGTAACGTTCCTTCTGCCACTTTTTTAGCTTTGCAAAACAACTAAACAATGCGAGGGATACATTTTTGACCCATCTACAAATCGTGTTAGTTTGCATTACCATTCGATAACAGATAAGTGCCAGGAGACAACAGGCTGGAAACGAGGAACGCGTTTATTACAGCCACCTTCGTAGAAGGTCAGTGATGTTATACTTTTTTGATAGGACAGGCTTGAATATGACAAGCCGCCTAGTGTCGGACGCTGTTGTGCACGAGCTTTATATTGATTTACTAAGTATGTACCAAGCTAGTTAAAATAGAAATTCACGGAAACGAGTATGCTTTAATCTGAGTAGACGGAACACGTTCATGCGGCTCCCATCGAAGATGGTCAGTAGGTGACCTCAGGCTAAGTACAGCCTTCGACGATAACAACGACATATGCTTTATCCCAAGAAAATCGGTCGATTGTTTCTTATTTAGGCCGTTACGCGTAATATGTGTAGCTTCGCAATCAATGCAGTGTTATTTTCTTTGTTTATTCGGATACTGCCATATTGTACTCTACAAGCGTATTAGACTCAGACTTCATCTGTGTAGACGTTTTCCATGCGAACTCGCGTATCTAGAAATGGCTATTTGACTGTTACCTAACGAGGTATTCAGCTCAAGCCACCGGCAAGTAGCAAATAGTCGCCTCGCCATAGGCTCAACTTGGCTCGTCTATGACCTTTACCTAATCAGCCTCCGTTGCAAACCACCACCGTTGCTTTTTCCCAGAGGAGCATTGGAAAAGAAAATGTTTTGCCTCCTATCGAAAGCGATTATTATCTGGCGAATTCGGGCTTAGGGTTTTGTTTCGCGCAGCAAAAGCTGTTTACGTGTGCTATTCACAAGTGGGACGGCTGTTTTGGGAGAGGTAACCTAACAGAGGGGGCTGAACGTCGCCTCTTTAGTTCTTTCTCCTCTCATAGTCAGGGAACTTTCACATCACATCAGATGATTGGGTTTGAAAATTTTCTTTTTGCCAAATGACCCTTTGGAGATTATCGCGGTGAATCCTTTGATTGTGTAGCGCTGGTGCACCAGTCGTGGCCTGTTGATCTGCTTCCTATCATGCCTTGGTTTCATCAACAGCCCCTACGTGGTCTACATTTAGTGCAAGTCTTCGAAGTGGTCACCAAGTAGCGAGACGTTCCTGTGTTGAAATGGCAACCAAGCTACCACGACGCGTCGGGGTCGTGGGTCTTTTCATTGGATGGACTGTGTACTGGATAGCATAGTCCTTAGCACAAAATGCTAATTTACCTCCGTGAGCTCGTTGTTACTCTCGATATTTGCGATAAGGCTGTTTCGCCGGAAGCATGGAACAAAGGAGATTCATGCCGGCTACAAGAACTGAATTGTGACATGCTGTAGCGTTCGATTAGGCTGAGCGAAAAAATTGTAAAAGGCTCAAAGAAAAGTCAATTAGAACACCAATACTTTGGGTGAAGAAAGGACCAGATATGTTCTACGCTACAAGCTTCCTCAGGTGTTTCTTTTCCGAAGCAACCTTAGTGTAAAGCTGCGGAATACCAAGAGGCTCCTGTGTTGTTTAGTTATTTCCTAATTATTTAATATAAGCTTTCCTCGATCTATGTTAACGTAATGTATGGTGTGATATTACGTATGCTGACACATCGGCAAATTTGTCGCCATTCAGGACCTCATCGTCCACTTGGACGTTCTAATGCAGCGCGAATTAACTCAGCAGTCTAAAATAGAGATGATCTTTCTTGATAGATAGTGTCGTAGGAATTTTAAGAACGATTCGCCCAAAGGTAAACGGAGTAGCGGAAAGCCTGATTTCAACGTTTACGCCACTCGAGCTTTAGTTTGCTGTAGAAACGCTAGTTCGAAGGAAGTTTGTTTTTCTCGCTTAGTTTTCTTTTTTTACCAGTGTTGTCATAGTAAATCAAGCCAGAAATCCTATAATATATAGTTATATACACAGTATTCATTTGAAAAAAATGTTTTCACTTTTTTTTTTTTTACTTCACAGGGGCATTTGTATACATCTTCCTCTTACCCACTTGAGTCATTCTCGGAAACGAATATTGTCATCGTAGTTCGTCTGGAAAATTGTTTCAGAAGTTCAGAAATGTCGGCACATGCATAGATTGTTACCGTAGCATGTCAACGATATGTGCATCGAGCGTAAATAAAGTGAGCGTACTGAATTCGATCGTAAGATATCATTATGGGAAGATCACTGAAATCAACAACAGCTTTCTAGGACATGCTCGCCTGAAGAGCTTCCCCAGTGATAAGGAAGCGCTTCTGCTTTCTGTTTGATTCCCAAAGACCTTCTGACCAGTCAGAAGGTGATGTCAGACCAGTGTTCCTTCGTTTTGGTGTTGAGAGATTTGGCGAAAGTCAGCTTAAATCAGAAAGTTTCACCTGTTGTCAGGGGAAAAAATACACAGTTTCATTATTAGTTCCATAGGTAGCAAGTACGAAAGGTAAAAAACACAGGAATGCATTTACGTGTAGGTATTACAAAATTAAGTCATTTCGTACCATCTTTTCCATAGTACTTCGAAAATCGGCAATAGAACACATCTCCTGGCAAAGCCGGATTCTTCCCGGAAAATATTTTCCAGAAAACGGTTCTTGCATTGGACACGTGGGGACGAAGAGATAAGGGTGCATTATGTACAACCGTGAGAGAGGAAACGATTGGAATGGTGACAAAAAATGGCTTATGCTGTTTTAACGCTTATATCTTATGCAGTATTAGACCAAACTTAACCAGCTAAACTTTGGTATGTCAATATTTCTAAAGATCTGTTACACTTGTTCCATAAACCTTGAATGAAGTATGCGATTAAACGAAATACTAACGCGCTTTATTTCCAGCCTAACGTCACATCTTCACACGAATCCTCAGATCACAATCTTGTCCGCCTTTAACAAAATAAGAAGATATATGTTCTATCAATCAAATCTACGTAGGCGGTAACGCAGCGCCGGTTTAGAGAAATTCCTATCGACACATAGTAGTAAATTCTGTAGGTGAAAATTTCATCACTTCGCCGGCAACGGTAGTTAACACAAAACGGTCGTGATCAGTGCCGACCTCAGCAATGACCCACCCACAGCCTATTGAATGAATGGGTTGGGTTTTGAGTAGTTGATTACTTAACTGTAAACTTATTCGCGCCTTTCAATCGAGATCTGCAGCTTTCGCCAAGTTCACTGCAGCACTCGAGGGCATTGTATGTACACAGCTAAGCAGCTGAAATACACTACGAGACAAAGAGACGATAATTCTTCAAAGGGCCTGACTCTATTTACGACTAAGTACCTTGTCTTAATCGTGTGACACACAGGTTTTGTTCTATTTAATACAACATATAAACAAATACAAACGCAATAGAGACGCTCACAGCGTCATAACAACACAGCTCAGAGCGACTCACTCGTCGCTGTGTTGTTTTTCGCACATTAAGTGAAAATGGGCCAGGTCACAATAGTCCTTTAAGGAAATAGGCCATCGTGCGGCAACAGCCACTACGCAAGTATATGGTATCTTCTTTCATCTATTCTGCGTGTCAGTGGTCGTTCAAAATGGCACCAATGGGCTAATCATGTCTGCCTGATTTGGTGAGTTGATATACATAGATGGCAAGAAGTCGACTATACGTATATACATATATATATATATATAGTATATATATATATACTGCAACATTTGCACCGTAACATGGAAACGGGTATCGGTCGCAGTTCATGTTGATATATATTAAAATTGTATTTAAATAGTACGCACCCATTGAAATCGCGGTGGTTCACTGTGGGCATTCCTATTTTATGGAGACTGAAAAACACAGATTCACCTACACAGACTAAAAATGTACTTATCAATCAACAAACAGAGTCTTGTTTCGCAAAGCGAATAATCCAGAGCTATGTCACTAGGGAAAGAAACCTGTTCTTCTAGCCGATGATTTTGTGTGCTCGAAAAAACACTGTGTATCCGATGCAAAGCGACGCTTATCGGAATCATCGTAGGCTGGAAACAACACTAGGCTTATAGTTGGCTAAGACATAAGACATAAAAGGAAACCTGTTGTTTTCGTGAAAGGCTATTTTTGCTTAGGTGAAAACTAAAGTCAAGGCCTACTGTGGAACTACGCGTTCGGCCTGCTTAACGCCTCCATAGAATACGTACGGCATATTTTACCGACGTCAGCGCTGATTGTTAACACTCGTTAAATTCACACATATCCTAGTCCCCATAAACGCTTATGGCAATCCTGAATGTACCTCGAAAGCCATTTTCCAATAGAGGGTGTATGGCAAGGCAGTTCTTTACCCGACCTCGTAACACATGCCATCATTATTGAACTTCTTAGCCAACCAGGATCTACTCACTCGTATAAGCGAAGGCATTTTTGTGGGAACGGCTGATCTATGTCGAGCCACGGAATGATTACCGGTTGAAAAATTCGGCCGGCAACTATGATGAACTATTATGGAGTTGCGGATGGAGTTTGGCCTGGTGGGTTGTGATTCAAACTGATTATATACTCACTAAGTAAGGGGATGGCTTTAGCGGTGAACGTCGACGCTGTTTCGACAAAGCGTTGAGACGCTCTACTGTTCTGGCGCCGTATCCGTGCTACTGTTCGTATTCAGGGGTTACGGCTCAACGCCCAACATCAGTACTTACGCCCCCACAGCAACGGCAGTTGTTAATATCGTGCTAAATGTGGCTGGCTATACCCCGAAAGCGCTCCAGCGTGTAACGCTGCTTGAGATGGTCCTCAATGGACATTGGACTGGTTATAGGGAAGGTCAATCGGCTACTGTTTTGTCGGATTTATCCACGCCAGTGAATAACAATGGCGGCAATAACAATCACAACGATAAAAAGGCCGCCCCAAGGGACATCCGCACAAAGATAGTAGCTATGCGCTAAGGGACAGACATATCTGTGCTACGAAAGTCGGTGTAGCTAATTTAAGCTTACAGGTGGGATTAATTCCTGTAAAGTAAAACGAGTCCCTTTTTTTTCTAACATTCTCAGTAACGCAAACGTATTGATAATAATAGAAATACACATTTAAGTATCATAACTTGCGTGAAGTCAATAGCTTATATGAAGGCTTGCTTTCCAAATAGCTTTTACACGCCAATTTGAATAAACATTGTGTTTATTTTAGCTTCTGCTGTGTGTCAAGCCTGAAGCTTGACTCAGATATGCAACATTTATCTTTCCTTTACCATATACAGGGAGATGCTATAAAATATGAACGTTTTGCAACAATTTGGAAAACCACAGAGTTCAATTATCGGTACATACGATCATGCTATGGAAATTAGCGTGTTTTCATGTTTTCGCGTTAAGCAGTATATTGCACTGAAATTTAGCATAGTGTGTACGATTAAATTGAAATCGATTACCTACCCGTAAAATGGTTGATTTCTAAATATTTTCCAAGAAAAGAAAAGTTCATTATCACCAAGGCACGTAGCGGTACGTGTCAATTTATCTATCACTTCCTTCAACAATGAACGAGAAAGCTATTCGTCTACGTAATAATAGAAAGCAAGTATATGATTCTTCTAAAAATTGCATGGAAGCGTCTATGCATGTGCGTGCATACGCGTGTGTCGAAGCGAGAGGAGATCGCTCCGGCTGAGACACAATTTCCAATAACTATCTTGCACAGACTTTGTGATTGTCCGTCGTTGATTCGTGATTGGACGTGGTCGTCGCCTTCCCCGTAACGGCAGCAGGCTACCAGCCAAGCACAAGAGGTACGTCATTTACTCATAGCGTTATTGTTATCGTGATTGTTATTATTATGATTAGGGTATTCTAGCATTGGCTTGACGATCAGTCCCCATTTGTCACACACGTTGGCGCTGAAACTGACTGCTTGGCTATGTATCCATGATGCTGAAGTTGGCGCTAACTTGGACAGAAACGGATGACGTTGTGATCCATCTTCTGTGGCACGATCAACGAAAGCGCCGAGCTGACGTCGTGATCTCGAGCTGTCGAGTCAACTATTCACAAGCGCCTATCATTGTAGGTGTTGTAGCTGCTGAACTGGCGATAGAAATGTAGGCAACGGTTAATGTACTGTTGCTCCTACAATCGTCTATGCCGCTCTTCATGATGCTGATCTTACCATTACATGGACTGCTGTCTGTACTAGCTTAAGTAGTGATGATGGCGGTGACTCAATAGCTCCCGTATGTACACACAGTTTTCCACAATGGCTCACTGAATGACCACATGTACTCTGACTTCATTTTGAATGGTCGCACAACGCTCACGTTTTGAGGGCAACGTGCTCAGCCAATACCAGAAGCACTGACAATTATCCTACAGTCGTAATGGCGTGGCTGTGCGTAACGTATTTGATTCGTTCCGTTGGTTTTGTATGACGAATAGAGAAAATTGGACGGGGGAAGTCTTTGCGTTGACCAGTATGCCATAAGCAAGCGTGATTTATTCAGTATTGTGCCAATTTTTTATGTCTGAATTTTTGACGAATTTCAATAGTTGTTTTTCTTTTCATGAAATTGTTGCTATCTACAATAAATTATACGGACCGAAGTGATTAGTGCCTTCAAGTAGGGTTCGTTTCTATGTCCTTATGGTATACCAGTATCGTTATACGCTTTGCTGACGTTCGCCTTATTTATAGATTAATTATCATAGCTTTTATACATCATACTTGATGTTTTTGCAGGCTTCTGTTTCTCTAGGACATATACTCATACAAAATCAAGGGGCATCTTCGGTTTGCTTCAGCGACTTTTTAAACCTCATGTCGAATGAGGGCTGCGCTTCCATGAGTGCGCATACGTTCTCGTATGAAGCAGCAGCTTTTATATGGTGCGCGCCAGCTGACTGCTGGGGTTCCACTGTAGGTCAACCAGCGGAAATGGTACGGACACCGCCATTATTCGGAATGAATGAGCTGAACATGAATGTGGTGTGACACCATGGTACGATGCACATCCTCCGAAGTTGAATCGCTTCCATATCTAAGCCACGCGGATGCACCGGTGGTGATGCCATTGGTGAAAAATCCGACGGAGCGATATTGCACCGGGAAACCCTCTCAGTGGCTAGCTGATAAGTCGGCCGGTGGTTAGGACGGTAGCAGCGACTATAGACATCGAAAGGGCGTGGAGGGATTCAGCCTTATGTTTTCAA